TCAAGAAATACCAAAATAAGATGATACTCCTTGACTTTTGTAAGATTCACAAACAAAGCAAGGAGTCAAGAAGTACCAAAATAAGATAATACTCCTTGACTTTTGTAAGATTCACAAACAAAGCAAGGAGTCAAGAAGTACCAAAATAAGATGATACTCCTTGACTTTTGTAAGATTCACAAACCCCATCCTGGTTTTAATCGATAATATTGTAGCCGTATTAATTTGAAAATAATTTTCCATCAGTATAATGATAATTTTGAATTGAGGTTTCCATAAATAAAAAATTATTCCAGCAAAAAATGGAAATTTTATGAAACCAACACTTGTTAATTATTAATAAGATATAAATCTCTCTAATATCTTCCTTATTATTTCTCAAATAAAGGTTTTGTAAAGAGTACTACCGTGATTGGAAAATTACATTTCCTTTAACTTAAGTATTCGTTACCCTGTTCCTAGGTTGGTTAACTCAGTTAAATATCTAAAGTAGAGAATTACAAGGATCAACTAATTGAATTATGATCAAGGTTTCTCATCTAACTAGATTAGAACAGATCCGGGACAATATAATCATTTACTGCTTTGTAAGAGACAGAAGACGATTCTTATATTTTGATTCGTCAAATTGGGATTGAAAGTCACAGTTTACTGGAATAAGGAGTAAAGACCGAACTGCTAAATGGATTGAACTTTTCCCACAAACTCAAGTGTTCTAATCCTTATACATTTGCAACCTGTTGGTGTAAACTTTTGAAATTTTAAACTTTGATTATTTGATCCAACGTAATTTACAGTTTGATATATCTAAGGCCTACAACATTGGGTTGTAAAGATTTAAGGATTGGAAAATCAGAGTTTGTGGCAAAGATTCAATTGTGCGGTCATAAGTTTTTAAAAAAGATTTTTTTCCCAGAAAAAAAAACTATTTTTGACTTTTGGATAATTTAAATGCAATTTTACTAAATAAATGTTCTATGTATTTTTTAAGAAAAAAAGAGTTTAGGATTTATTAAAAGGTTTTCTATTTCTATAATTAGATCTAGTGAACCGGCCCTCCTGGGGGGGTAATGGGGTCTAATGTACTTCACAGCAGTCCAGAAAAGAAAACCTTAAACTCAATTTCAGAGTGAGAAAAAAAGTCATTGCCCCCCCCCCCCCTCTCTTAGTTATTTTATCGTTTTAATCTCATGATTTTCTTCACTTTTTTATGGAAGATTTAAAATTATCAAAGTGGGAAATTTTACCGAAGATTCACAACTTTTTTTCTAATCTTAAATCCGTCAAAAACCGGTTTCAATTTACCGCCGGCTTAAATTTTGAAACATTGAATACAATTTTAAGGGGAACCAACCATATTTGAGCCGCGTCTCAAATCCGCCAAAAACCAGTTTCAAATTAGCGCCGGCTTAAACATTCAATTGGGAACATTTAATACAATTTTAAGTGGACCCAACCAAATTTGAGTGCGTCTCAAATTTAAACCGCGGCTCAAATTCTTAAAATTCGGTCTCTGGTTAACAAATGAGACTTTCAAAATATCACCGAGGTATTCCTTTATAAAAAGATATTTTTGGTATGCAAAATTTTTCATAAAATCCCACTTGCTAATCTAAAAACTTATTAATGCAGGTCTATGTTAAATTAAGGACTTTGCAAATTAACTTCATTTACTCCCAGAAAAATTAAAATCACTGGTTTAAAGTTGAAATCCCCGGGCAAGGGCTACGCCCCCCCCCCCTTTACAGGTCTAGGAAGGGGACACTGCCCTCCTTGCCCCCCCTGTATACGCCCTTGCGCCCAGGGGATTCAATGATAAACCCTTGAGTTTTTTAAACTTTTTTCCATATATTTATATAATGAAATTCGAGAAATGAAAGAAATAGATAAAATAACAAATTTTAACTTTATTTCAGATCATAATTAAGAGTAGTGAAAAAAATAAAGAAATCTTTTAGAATTCCAAGTATTGCAGTTCTTTATATCAAAATATCATGATCAATGCAGTAACAATAAAAAAATGCAATGCACTTCAGCTCGTTTGATTTCCGTTCAAAATTTTCCATCTTTAACCTCTTTCTTGCAGTGTCATGTGAGTTACCACAAAAATATGGGCTCAATCGGTTCAACTGTTTTGGCGTTTTTTGCATACAAACACAGCAACAAGCAAAGTATACTTATAAAGATCAAATCTTTTTTAAAAGAGGAATAAATTTTATATTTGTTACGACTAAACGTAGGCGTACATAACGTAATCATCATCATTGATTTGAAGATGTTTTACAGGGTTACCAACACAGGATAAAACTTAAATCACTACCTAAAATACTTTAGTTCTGAAGATCTGAAAGTAAAGGAATTGAGTTTTTGCAACAAACTCTGATTTTCTAATCTCTATATCTTTCCAACCCGATGTTTTAGACCTTTGATATTTCAAATAATGAATTCTATTAGATCAAATGATCTTACTTTGAAATATCAAAGGTTTATATCATCAGATTGGAAAGATATAAGGATTAGAAAATATCTGTGTGTGGCAAAAACTCAATTCCTTTGGTCTTCTGTCTTTATCTTAATCTATATAATAAAGCTCCACGCTCATCTATATATAAATTTGGCTTGTCTGTTTGTCTATTTAAATAGAAGATGGGCGCGAAGCGCCCTAAAAGCCTAGAAAGAATGGCGCAAAGCGCCTTGAATTTCTAGTATATATATATTTCTATGGATCTATGTAAATTTTAATGTAAGCTATAGCCAAACAGCTGGACCGAATGGGCTAAGTTTTTTAAGGGAACCTTCGAGTTTCCTGGATTAACATAGGCTAAAAAAATAAAAAAATAAATTCAAAAATCGATTTTCTTTTATTCCACGGGCAACGCCGGGCACTTCAGCTAGTGTTTGAAAAGTGCACATGCATAATTTGCATAAGAATGCAAAACTTTGAATGCCATAGTAGAAATTAGTCACATCCGAAAGAAGAGTGAAAAAAATTCCCTGCAGTCGTCTCTGCAGTCTCATCCTGTCAGGGTTACCCTGTAACAAAGTTTAACTCTTCTTTTTCCGCCTGAAATCAAGTTTTATTTCCCCATTTATGTAATTTGTAAAGTTAGTTTACTGGGTCAAAGTTAAAAGAGTAATATATCTTTTAGAAATAACTGGGAAACAAGATCTTCGTCCAATACAGAAAGTACAGAAATAAACATAACTTATATCTTTGCAACCTTTGCAAAGACTTTTCATATTTCAAATATAAATTCTGTTAGATCAATTAATGAAAATTTTAAGTTTAAAATATCACAGAAGTTTTATACCTGTAGGTTGTAAAGATATAGAGAGACTTAGTTTTATTGGTAAAAAGTGGAAGAAAATAAATATTTACATTCGAAATTAAAAAAAAACCCGCTTTAGACACAGAATATTCTGTTTTCTAGGTTTACACAGTACGCTAGCGTACATTGCAATTTCATATTGCAGAGCATTTTATATATATGTAAACTGAGTTCTCTGTCCTAAATATTCAGTCAAAGGTTTAAAAAGTATCGTTGTGAATATAGGAGAGTCCCTGTTAAATGGGTCAATTTAAAGGGAGTGACCGGCAATATATGGTGGTGGAACTGAATATGTAGTATTGTGAACAATATATTTGGAGGCATTAGAGACGTAGAGACGTAGAGACTACTCTGCGACGTATATTTACTGAGTTTGTTTACTTTCAAAATCATTTTTTTGGGTGAATACGTATTTTGAATCGTTTTTTTAATTATTAAATAACGACAAATAATGACGACAAAAAATGTTAACAAAGTTCTACAGTAAACTAATTAGTTGTTCAGGAACAGGTTGAAAAAAAAGGAGCAACACTTTTCGATTTATCCCTATTTCATAAATGTTTGTCTTATGTAAATCTTCAATTGAAAATCTACATGTATAAAGACGACAATTTTCTCCACTCAATCCATATTAGTTGTTGTTTTGATTTGCTCGTATTTGACAATAATGCCGCACATCATTAAACTTTTTCAAAACCCCGCGAAAAATACAGAGAAATTTTAAAAACTTTTAATTACCAAAATAAATTTAAAATCAATATATTATACTTATTTTGATGATAAAAGTAAATTTGCATTTTCACAACCTGTTCCTAAACAACTAATGAGTTTACTGTAGAGTTTTTTCTTACATCTTTTGTCGTCATTTAATATAAATAATTTAAAAATAACAAATCTCAAAACTTATCCACCCAAAAAGATAATTTTGAAAGTCGACTTTGAGCTCAAACTCAGTAATTATACATCATTACAACGTTTTATATGACTCATATGAATCCTAAAAAATATATCCACAATACAACATTCTCAGTTCAACTTATACATTGCCGGTCACTCCCTTTAAGATTAAAGAGGTTTATGTCGTCGTCGTCGCTAAACGCACCCCCCACCCTTCCCACCTGTTTAGGGTTAATGGATGAAAATGGGGTTTAAAGTTATATTTGACTTTACTTTCAACCAGGATCTCTAGTATACTGTGAGTGTAAAATTCAACAAAACCCATTTCTCGAAAATCACAATAATTCGTTGCACAACACGTTTTTTAGAAAATTCTAATTAAAATACTTATTTTCTTCCATATTAATATCTTTTTTTTTGTACAACCAATTTCGTGGGAAATGAGGAATGTAAGAGAAATATCAAAAAGGAAAAATGTCTAAAAGTAAATTGAATTTTTTTTTGAACTTGAATTTTTATTACTTTAGTCTTAGGTGGAAAAAAAGATACAGAGAGATTTGTAATATTGATAAAGCATCTTCTTACAATACAAATTATCTTATTTGTTTAATTAACAAGTATAAAGAGTTATAAGCTAGTCCTTATTAAAATATATACATCATCTGACTAAAATATAGAGATCATGAAAGTAATGGAGCAAAATTATCATTTGGCCGCATATTTAAAAAATGAATTTTTTGTTTTATATAATTACATACATTTCACTTGAAAAAATAAGTTTATTTAATGTAATGTATAAAAGTTTAATAAACATGAATCACGCTTATGAAAACTTTTTTGACAGTTTAAACCTGGAAATGTTATTGCCAAAAAAAGTTCCGATGCTTTATAAAGAAGAAACGATGAACAACATTTTTTAAGAAATTCCAAAATTTGTGTATGAACAAAACTGCAAATGATGATGAATTTGCATCTTAAGTCATAGGGGTTAAATAAATAAATGTCTGTTTGTTTTTGTTATAAAAGATCTTTTTTAACATCATCGCAATAAAAATGAAGTAAGAAGCAAGAAGCAATTTCTTTGTTCTTTGGTGGAATTCAACAATTCAAAAATTATAATAGTGTGAAACCCACATGTTCAAAATTCAAGATGGCGGTCCTAGAGCGCAGTATCCCCAGTTACAGCTGATTCCTGGGCGGAGCAGGTAATAAACATAGAAGATTCCTCCACGGGGATCTGGGCACCCTCGCACCTCAAATAGATCGGAATAAAAAATAATTGGTGGATAGGGATTTTCCTTCCATTGATCGGATTGATAACAGAGAATTGGCAGACATTAGACAGGGTTTACATTCCAAAGATTACATAGTACAAAAATGGCGGAAAGGGATTTTTTAATTGTTTACCTGGCCATTGGTCATTTTAACCTCACAGTTTCCACCAAAGGCAGTTACGCATAATGTTCTGTTAACAGTTCCATCCCTGCAACAATCAATGTAAGGATTTACTTTATAAAAATATTCATTTCACATTTTTTAAATTTCGCGGTTGAATGTTAATTAATAATTGATAAATCTATGAAACGAATTAATAAATATTTTTTTAATTATTAATTCCCCTATTTCCCCGCCTTCTAATTTATAATGAAATTTAATGAAATTTTGTAAGTAAAGCTTGAGCCTAATCCCAGTAATTTATAATTAAAATCAGAAAAGCATGAAACTCTGAGCATGACAAGCCCGTCTGGGGAAAATTAAATAGTTTTAAAAAGACGAGAAATTTATTTATTAGTTTGCTTTGTTAGAGAACACTAAATGATGGACATTTTTTACCTTCGAGCAAACTGTAAATCTTGGATTGGAATAAATTGCAAATCTATAGATCTCTTGATCTAACTTATAGACTCTCTTATAGACTCTGAAATTGTATGTAAACTTCTCTGTAAATGAGGAGTCAGAGTTTTCCCATATACAGAACTAGCTTTGTCTCTGTGGTTCAAATTAAATTCCGTTGGCTAACCAACCCTACTAGTCTAGTAATCATCCCATCTCGGCAGACTGTTAATCTAACCTTATATCTGGATATAAGCCTGCTAGTCAACCCTGCTTGTCTAGTAATTATCCCAGATGCGCTGACTGTTAATCTAACCTTATATCTGGATGTTAGTCTGCTAGCCAACCCACCCTGCTGGTTTAGTAATCATCCCAGCTAAGCGGACTGTTAATCTAACCTTATATCTGGATATGAGCCTGGCAGTCAACCCACCCTACTGGTCCCCAATCCTCCCAGCTAAGCGGACTGTTAATCGAACCTTATATCTGGATGTTAGCCTGCTAGCCAACCCACCTCACTGCCACTGGTCTATTAATCATCCCAGATAAGCGGACTGTTAATCTAACCTTATATCTGGATGTTAGCCTGCTAGCCAACCCACCTCACTGCCACTGGTCTAGTAATCATCCCATCTCGGCGGACTGTAAATCTAACCTTATATCTGTATATAAGCCTGCTAGCCAACCAACCCCGAGGGTCTATTAATCATCCCAGCTAAGCGAACTGTTAATCTAACCTGATATCTGGATGTTAGCCTGCTAGCCAACCCACCTCACTGCCACTGGTCTAGTAATCCTCCAAGCTAAGCGAACTGTTAATCTAACCTTATATCTGGATGTGAGCCTGCTAGCCAACCCACCCTCCTGGTCCCACAATCCTCCCAGCTAAGCTGACTGTTAATCTAACCTTATATCTGGATGTGAGTCTGCTAGCCAACCAACCTCACTGCCACTGGTCTCGCAATCCTCCCGCTAAGCGGACTGTTAATTTAACCTTATATCTGGATAAATGCCTGCTGGCCAACCAACCCTACTGGTCTAGTAATCATCCCAGCTAAGCGGACTGTTAATCTAACCTTATATCTGGATATGAGCCTGCTAGCCAACCCACCCTACTGGTCCCACAATCCTCCAAGCTAAGCGGACTGTTAATCTAACCTTATATCTGGATGTGAGCCTGCTAGCCAACCAACCCTACTGGTCTAGTAATCATCCCAGCTAAGCGGACTGTTAACCCTATCCCTCTAAATCCCATGTTTTATGTCCAAATATGAGAGATGATGCATCATTAGAAAGCTCTTGTGCTCTACTTTTAGAATCTGCAAAAAAATTTGCAAATTTGCAAAAATTGAATTTTTTATCGCAAAATCCAGTTATATAGTAAAAATGTTTGCAAAAAAAATTTGTCCAAAAAATGAAAAATTATACATTTTTGAAAAGTCCTTAACCATGCGATTTTGAAAATGCAAAAATTTTTGCAAAATTTTAAATAACCTGATTTTTAATGAAGAAAAACTAAAAATGTGCAAATTTCCTTTGACAGGTTGTTTGCAAAAAATTTGCAATTTTTTTTCGCAAAACTTGTGCAATCCTTTTCCTTATGTCATAGGCTTTCCAAAAAGCTAAATTTTATCAAAATCTGACAAGTGAAAGTGGGTCAAAACAAATATTTAGTTTGTTTCAGGCAAAAGCAGTCATTCAAGCAGTGTGCCTGAGGACTCAGGCAGTTAGTATTAAAGCCCGGTTTTAGGCCTAAAGGGAGGGCTTTGGGTTTGTAAGAAAAGTCAGAAAATTTCAACAGCCTCAGACCAATACTTTTTGAGTTATGTAAAAAAACTAAAGGGGGGGTCAAATTGCCCCCCCCCCCCAGCAGGAATAGGGTTAATCTAACCTTATATCTGGATATGAGCCTGCTAGCCAACCCATCCTACTGGTCCCACAATCCTCCCAGCTAAGTGGACTGTTAATCTAACCTTATATCTGGATGTGAGCCTGCTAGCCAACCCACCCTACGGGTCTAGTAAGTAGTAATCATCCCAGCTGCGCTGACTGTTAATCTAACCTTATATCTGGATGTGAGCCTGCTAGCCAACCCACCCTACTGGTTCCGCAATCCTCCCAGCTAGGCGGACTGGACTGATCAGCCAGGACAGTACCAGCATCTCCGTCAAATCTGTACCATCTCTCCTAAGTTCAGAAAGTAGGCATGAATAAAGCTAATTAAAAAGGTAAAAAATGACGCTTTAACTATATTCAAACCAGAAGACCCAAACTAAAGTTTCGCTATATCTAAAGAATTGCATGTTGTCATTGTTGTCTCATTCTTTGTGGGTAACCCTGTTCACCAACAAGTCTATCTGTTTTTTTAAAATCTGTCTTTAACTATGATCAATGTAAAATTGTACTTTTTTTGTTTTCATATCAAAATTTAAATTCTCTTTGAAAAAGTTCCTTTTCAAGCTTAAAAACCTTTTTATTTTCTTTCTTTGAATCAAGAGTTCCCAAGGGACAAAGTAGAAAAAGAGATGATATCTGTCTGATAAAATAGTTCAAAGAAGGAGGAATAAAACGTTTAAAACTTGAAAGAAAAAATGAAATGGCAGAGACATGTCTTTAATGGAAGGCGGAAGGGATTGGTGGGGGGATGGGGGGGGGTTATTCTTTATTAATTCAAAGAAGGTTCTGTATTTTTTTTATATTAGATAAACTGGCTTGTCGAGGATTAATGCAAAGACATGTAATTTTAAGCGAATAAATAGTGCCTTGGCAATCAAGTCCATTTCCTTGCTCTTCAGTACTGTACATACATTGTATAGTGTTGTTATTCTAGAAAGACCTGAACAATTGGCGAAATAGTTACAAAGGAATTTCGTCTTTGCCACAAACTCTGATTTTCTAATCCCTATATCTTTACAACCTAATGTTGCTGACCTTAGAAATTTCAAACTATGAATTCTGTTAGATCAAAATATCAAAGGTTTCCGCCATTAGGTTGCAATGATATTAAGACTCACAGATGAGCTATTCATCTAATAGACAAATTTAATGTTCTTTCACCTGGAAATCTCGATCACAATTAAATGGATCTCCTGTTTGTGAAGGTCCAAGCCCAGTTATTCGTCTCCAGCGTTCAGTTAGAGCAACATAGTCATTACAAGGACCTTAAAGTGACTGTAAAGAAAAAATAAAGGGGGTATAGGCTGAAACCTAAGAGCTTCAGGAGTTGAGCGAGACCCATAAGAGTTTTATCTGATGTTCCTGTCTCAAGAAATTGATATATCATGTGATACAGACGGTGGCACGTGACAATCATACTACTGCACTGCCTTTGCTGGGAGTTCTGGTCACGGGATATAGTATATCTATTAAAATGTGAATTATTAAATTCAAATAACATATGAGCAGACCTAAGTTTTGCAGGCTCCTCTGGGATATCTTTGTTTTTAGATTGGTTGCGTATTTGCTGAATATGATCTGTTTAAACTTAAATTATTATGTCAATTTCTCGAGACAGGAACATCTGATAGAACTCTAATTAGTCGATCGATCAACTCCTGAAGCTTAACCCACTTTCATTTTTCCTGTACAGTCCCTTTAAATACAATAATTGATTTTCCATAATATTTATCCAAACAGTCAAATTCATAAAAAATTAAGCAATCAGGGTTTATAATTGCTTCAAAAAGATTAAACGGTTTTTTCCAATGTACTGTAATCATTATCTGTGTGAACGAAGTTAACAAAAGTGCCATTTTAAATATTAATTATTAATAATCACAAGGCAATCTGATTATACATCCATCGTTAACTCATTTAAAGACTTCGAATTTGGCCTTGATCATCGTTTGTAAAACATTATGAAGATGACTTTTTTTTTAAGAAAATGCGTTTTGATTAAACGAATGTGAGTTGAAAAAAATCTTAATTGGGTTCAAGGTTAAAATGCAAGAAAATTATCAAAATTAAATGCTTTTAACCTCCCAGGATACTAAACGAACACTGATACATCTATTCTCGTTTACAAATTCCACCCAGAGAAAACTGGTTTCAATATGTACGCAGAGTATACGCAACTGCAATTAACTTGTATTCTAGCCTTGATTGGGTCCAAATTGAGTTTTTCTTTAACCATTGCACAGTTGCACTGCATGTTATTCATTGTTAACAAATAATCCTTGTTTACAACTAAACAAAAATAATGAACAAAAATAGTTAACGAAACAAACTTAAAAACCCCACGTGTGAACAAAAGTTAATAAACAATAAAAAACTTGATTTAATCAATTGAAGACACAATGTATAAATTTGTATTAGAAAGATAGCTTACTATTGTTCCCTGGACCAGGCTGGATTCTGGAAATAAGACTTGAAGAACTCGCATCTAATAATTTAATAGATTTGGTTTAAATAAATAAATTCAATTTATATAATATATCTAATTTAGCTTTTCTTCAGGTTCCGATAATAAACAAACAAAATTTTTTTTTTTCAAATGGTCGGAAAGGACAAAAAGAAGAAAAATAAAGAATGAAGGAGCAAAATATGTTGACACGACAAATTTTGATAAAATATTTCTGTACCCTATACTTTAAAATTTATGAAAATAGATTTTTTAAAATAAAATATACAATTTTCTAATCCCTATATCATTGCATCTTGATTGTGTAAATTAATTGAACAATTAACGATTTAATTATTCAACAAATCAACAATACGACATATTGTTTAATTGACGATAATGTTAACTAATTAACTAATTACCTTATTAAATAATGAACTAACTAACTAATTAAATATTTAACTAATCAATTAATCAACTATACAAACTAATCAACTAATTATTTAATCACCTAATCAACTATATAAACTGATCAACTAATTAACTGATATATATATATCAACTAATCATTTATACAGCTAATCAACTAATCATTTAATCACCTAATCAACTATATAAACTAATCAAATAATCAACTAATATATATAAATCAACTAATCGTTTATTCAGCTAATTAACTAATTAACTAATAAAAAACATTTGTTATTAAATGTATTTTTTCTTTATCTTTTTGTTATAAAATAATAATAAGGTTGTTTTTGTATAGTATTGAGAAGAATATTTAAAATCTCCGAGAACCATCAAGTTTTTTTGAAGTAGTTGAAAAACTCTCTACCACAAAGGAATATTTACAGTTAAATATAATAACTAATCATTAAATCAACTAATCAACTATATAAAATAATCAACTAATCAGTTAATCAACTATATAAACTAAAAAACTAATAAAATAATCAACTATAATCAACTAATCAACTAAAAAACTAATTAACTAATCAACTAAAAAAATCAAATAATTATAATCCACTAATCAACTAATTACTCAATTAACAAGTAATTGTCTGAGAGGATAATTAGAGCATCTAGAAATTTTACCACACAAAAGATAAATAAACTCCATTAATCTATTTAGTTCTTTTCTATTCTTTATTTTTCTTGTCGTGAATTCCGTAAATAGAACAAACAGAAAAAAGAGAAAAATGAATATTAAAAAGATAAAAAGAAATGTTAGAAATATTCTTTTGATTAATTTGATTAGCTTGATTAATTTGACATATTCTGGCTCACCTGTTGCTGCTACAATTCCATAGACAATAGCAATAAGTAATCCAGACAATAACACTAATCCAAGACAGATAAGGAATACCCAGATCCATGTAGGGCATCTTAGAAATAATATCTTTGAACATTGTGTCAAAATTGTGTTAGTTATTGAACTGGAGACATAGTTAAACTGCAAGTTCTCTTGTACCCACACGCAAAATTGCTTCTTTTGTAAATTTAACCCTATAAAGGCTGGGGCTGGGGGGTCTGATTCTATGTAGAATAATAGAAATAATCTGAACCGATGTATAGCCTTAGAGAATAGGTATGTACATGAGTTGTGTACAGCCAGGGCAAGCATAAGAAAACTGGTAAAACTTAGTCTATGTGGTTTCTGGTTTATACTCACGAATTTACTGGACTTTTAAGATAAAAATATATATTACCTCGGCAATTTAAAAGTTACAAACTCTCATTCTATAATTATTTTTGAAAAATTGTTTGATAATTTAATTACCTTTTTCTGTTTTCTTGTTTGCTAGAACCTGAATTAGATTAACGTGAACCATGATAGAATTAAATTAGATTATTTAAACCATAAAAACAATTAAAATTCAGCAAAATAATTATATTTTACAGTTCACGTTCACATTTAATCCCTTGAACTAATCTCTCTTCATCAGTATTGAACTCTTCTACCGGAGTGTCCCTAACTCCGTTAATATTTGTGAAACTCGCCTAAAATTCATGATTAATTAATATCAGTGCAATTGTATTTAGAAACCTTGTCACAGGTATTATTTAACTTTCCAATTTTTAAAATTGTTTTTTTCCAAATATGTTTTCTTCAAACGGAAAATATGAAATATTTTGTAAGGTTTGACTTATTTGATATGTAAAGATACTTGAAAGTTTCGGAGTTTTTTGACCTGGTTTGAACTAAGATAAAATTTACCAAAAATAGTTTGACATATTTAAACTCCGAGTAAGAATATTGGCTAAAACCAAATAGATTCTAGTACAATAGATGAGAACGCAGAATTTGTACAGTCTCACTGCAGCATGTTTTCTCACGTCAAAAGTGTGTCCGAAATTTTTTTCAATAATAGTGATAATAAAGTGCTTATTATAACAGTGAAATAAGTTCAATTTTGTGTTATTATTTATAGTTTTTAATGACTCAAATGAATCCTGAAGAATTTGTCCACAACACTGCATACTCAGTTTAACTACCTTACGTAACATAGCCGGTCTGTCGGTTTAAAAAAAATAATGCAGAACATTGAGAACACATTTGTATTTTTTACAGTGACAAATAAAAATACACTTTTAAAGTACATTCGTGCTGGAAAAAAGTGTTATAAAAAATCTCCTGGTCCAGGTTCTCTATCAAGGGCGTATACAGGGGGTGGGGGTATGGGAACTCTGCCACCCCCCGTACAAGTGAAATCTTTGATTTTTATGAAGTTTCAGACCTCAATGGACCCCCGTGGAAAGAAAAAGTGTCATGTCGCTCTCCCTATACTTAATCATGTATAAGCCCCTGCTTTTATCTATAACTCAACTTATTGTTAAATTCACTATTAAGCAAATATTTTTTTTGAAAATTATGGAGAGAAAAACTTTTATTATCCATTGGCTGAAATAATCTCTGACGCCATGTATATTAACAAAAAATAATGCCTTTATACCGCTTTAACATGCAATTGCCTAATCATTAATGGGACTGTTCTAGGTTTGTTCTGAAATGCAAAAAAGAAAGAAAAAAAGCTAACCTTAAGATTTTAGAAGTTTGACTTTGATCTGGTCAAAATAAGCACATTTGTTTCAACCGCTACAACGTCAGGCATAATAAATTTTAATATATTTTTTTAGGTCTGTTCTAAAATCCATCAAAAAGTACAGTCAACCTTTAGAATTTAGCCTTTAATCAGGTAAAAATTTAATTTTGAAACTAATCCTTTTCTGTGTAAATATCAGATTAGAGAAAACTTAATTTAGTTTTAAACTTCTAGATGAAAGAAGGAAAGGATTACGAGGCTACGAGTGTCTGCAGAGAAAGATAAAACCGGTTTCTGCATCTACACCTGACAGGGCACATGGCACTCACATCTACACATGGCAGTGCACATGACACTGCCATTTCTTCATGTGGCAGGGCACATGTCATTCAGAAATCTACACGTGGCAGAGCACATGTCACTCACATCTATATGTGGGATGGCACTTGGTTCACACATCTACACATGGCAGGGCGCATAGCACTCACATCTACTACTTGTGGCAGGGCACATGGCAATGACATCTACACGTGGCAGAGCACATGTCACTCACTTCTACACATGGCAGGGCACATAGCACTCACATCTACACTTGGCAGGGCGCATAGCACTCACATCTACACATGGCAGGACGCATAGCACTCACATCTACACATGGCAGGACGCATAGCACTCACATCTACACATGGCAGGACGCATAGCACTCACATCTACACATGGCAGGACGCATAGCACTCACATCTACACATGGCAGGACGCATAGCACTCACATCTACACATGGCAGGACGCATAGCACTCACATCTACACATGGCAGGACGCATAGCACTCACATCTACACATGGCAGGACGCATAGCACTCACATCTACACATGGCAGGACAAATAGCACTATAACATCCATACGCTAAAGAGCGCTTTAAGTGCCTAATCCTCCCAGATAAAAATATTTTTTAAGAATCAGGTCACGTTAGGGCATAATGATATTGAATTTTGTAAAACGAAAAAAAAGTTTCATTTGAACCAAAGTTTTTAAGTATAATGTCCTTAAAAATGGCTATCTTTCTCTAGCGCATTTTTAGATATTCTTGGTATAGAATGCCGCAATTAATTCCGAGTTATAGAAATTCAATATTTTTGTTCATTATAGTGCAAAACCATCTAATTTTGTTTCCTTGTAGAAGATGATATTTATTTTGCTATTTAAGTTTTACCTAAACAAAATTTGGCATCATTCTCACGGGTTTAAAGATTTCAGCATGGAATATGGATGTAATCATTGCCATCAATATGTGGCCAGATTTTTAAAAATAGTTTTGGCTTCGAGAATTGGAAACTTTGAAACACATAATAATCGAAGGACGAGGCGAGGTGGTTCGTGCAACAAAATGAGGATAATGTGGATCGGACGATAAATTGTTGTGGCTTGCCTTCCTCCCCTCGTGTAACTCTAAAACTCTAATTAACATCTCAAGTCAAAACATGCATCAATTTATAGTAAACAGTAATTATTTGAATATGTTCTTCACAAATAATATCAAATATATTTTGTCCTTTTTGTCATTTTTATCATTTTATCATTTTTATCATTTTATCAGTTTTATCATTTTATCATTTTTATCATTTTTATAATTTTATTATTTTATTATTTTATCATTTTATCATTTTATCATTTTATCATTTTTATCATTTTATCATTTTTATCATTTTATCAGTTTTATCATTTTATCATTATCATTTTATCAGTTTTATCATTTTATCATTTTTATCATTTTTATCATTTTATCATTTTTATCAGTTTTATCATTTTATCATTTTTATCATTTTTATCATTTTATCATTTTTATCATTTTATTTTATCATTTTATCATTTTATCATTTTATCATTTTTATCATTTTATCAGTTTTATCATTTTATCATTTTTATCATTTTATCATTTTATCATTTTTATCATTTTATCAGTTTTATCATTTTATCATTTTTATCATTTTATCATTTTATCATTTTGATCATTTTATTATTTTATCATTTTATCCTTTTTATCATTTTATCATTTTATCATTTTTATCATTTTATCATTTTATCATTTTATCATTTTATCATTTTTATCATTTTATCATTTTATCATTTTAACATTTTATCATTTTTATCATTTTATCATTGTCATTATCTCTAATTGAAAATCTTTTGAATTAACAACTCATGGAGTATTCATAATGCTTATATGTGAACCATACATTATTTTATGAACATTTTTGGTCAATTAAAGTCAAGGCTTTTGTTCATTCTCAGTAAAACGTAAATCTTGGAGTCCCCAAAAAAATTTAAATAAACATTATGCAAATGCACTTCATGGTAGAATTCGTTCTTATTATAATAAGATCGCATACTTTGTGCGCATAAATCAATAACAACACAGATACAACACTAGATGTCGTCTTTTCAGGACTTAGTGGTTTTTCATTAACAATAACCCTGCGACAGAAGCCCAAAGGAGTTCCATGTAGACAGCGCATGCTCTCTCTCTGCCTGCGCGGAACTCCTTTGGGCTTCTGCCTCAGGGTTGTTGTGAACGAAAAACCACTAAATCTTGAGAAGAAGGCATCTAGTGTTCTGTCTGTTGTTATTAATCTATGTGTTTATGTATAATTATATCGAATGTATTCCTACAACATTGCCGGAAGGATTTCATACAAAAGTTAATTTCCTTCATGGTGTATGCATTACACATTTAATAAATAAATAATTAGTTACAAACTGTTGAGAAGTTTAATTAAACTTGTTGAAATGTTTACAGCCCCCAGTGTTTGCCTCTGCCACTTTTTAAAAAGCTTTCAACAAGATAAAGTTTTTATGTTAAAAAAAAGAGGTTAATCGATGAAAATTCAATCATAATCTAGATAAGATAAGCTGTAATGTAAATGTAAAACCAAAACTCTATATTCCCTGAACATACAGGGGGACCACAAACAGGGGCGTATGTCCAGAGGGGGGGTCATTTACATGGATGATTCAGAGTAACCCTTTAAACCGTCATATGAGTAACAATATAAGGTATGGTCGAGTTTATATTCAATATAAGGTATTGTCGATTTTATATTCTGAAAAAATAATTTCTTTTGCAAGTCTTTTTTAATGAGAGACGACCATCGACCATTTTTATTTATACAGATAAAAAACAAGAATTTCTCCACGATTTTTTCTCACATTGTTTTAATCTATATATCTTTGCTGTGACGAGATAATTTTTGTTGTAGTGAATCAAGATAACATGTCAATCTTGGTATTTATTTTTGGTATTTTGATTTTAAATTTATTTACATAAGAATTGTATCTTGGATTCTAGTATGTTTGTGAAAATGACTGAAAATACGCAAACACTTCTTAAAATTAAGTGTATAAAGGAAACTATTTTTTGACACAAACTGTAATTTTTAATACTTACAATGTTGTAGAATGAGACCTTTGATATTTTAAATCATGAATTCTGTTAGATCAAATAGTCTAAGTTAGTAATATCAAAGGTTCACACCATCGAGTTGCAAGTATAGAGAGATATAAAAATTTGAGTTTGTGGCAATTAGATGTTGCGTGAATTAACCTTGAGTGCGCTACCAACACTGCTGGCAAAGTTGACCGGAAAGGCCCGTGCTAATCCTTTCTCAGGTTCCAGCTGTAGACGTCGTGGTGGACCGGGGTAGTCATTTCTGGACATCTGGACCCGGGGAGACGGGTAGTCATTGATGGACACCCTTCCTCTCGGAGAGGGGTAGTCATTTATGGACATTTTTGCTCGTGGTGAAGGGTAGTCATTTATGGACACCCTTCCTCTCGGAGAGGGGTAGTCTTCTAGCCTGCTCCCGTTCACGGGAACTCGTCCGTCAGGAAAGACTAAAAAACATTTTATTTTTAAAAACTATTTAACTTCAATTTAAAATTAATTTTCTTTTTTGTCTAAAATGGAAAAGTCATGAAATGAGATTTTATATTTTTAAATTCTAAAAAGATTAATTTTGACGAAAAAAAACATTTTTATAAAACATTCAATTATTTTTAAATTTTAAATTTAAAATTTTTTTTTCTCATATTCTTAACGAAGGTTTTGACCCTTTTAAAGAAACATTTTCACAAAAGTAACAAAAGAGAAATTATAAAGTAAAAATTCAATTCTAGAATTTAAGAAAAATCATTTTGGAATTAGTTAATGAAAAAGGCAAACTCTAAAAGAATTTATTTCTGAACAAAGTTTAAACATTTTATCTTTTAAACTTTAAATCCTGTTAATACAGTTTTAAAACATTTCTCTGAAAAACTGTATTTAAGAAAGACACCGTTTTTTAGAACAATAATTGCAATAAACATTTTATCCTGATAAATGCAACGAATGTATGTATCTCATGTTTTGCTCAGCAAAAAATGTTGAAATCTAAAATATTTTTAAAAATCAAAGCACTCCATAACATTTTTGTTATTGACTAAGAAAGTCTAAAATTTTTATTCTCTTTTAATAATTTTATTTTTAAACTCGTTCTTTTCAGGCAATAATATTATTCACCTGCAAAAAAAGAGCTTGTTCCATCAGCATACTTTTTGAAAGTTCATTAGCTGTTAAAGTTAAAAAAAATTTGAATTAACTTTTAATTTAAAAACTCTAAACTCGTAAGTTTGTTAGGAGGGTCCATTTTTAAGTCTAATATAAGTAAAAATAGTTTAATTCGGATAATTCAGGCATATTGGAATATCAATTCACGCGGACTTCAGGGTTCGGTCATTAACCCAGAGAACTGTGACTTTTGTCCACAATTTGACCTATTTAATCTATCTTATACTTTTTGTCGGCATATACTTTTTCAATAAAAGTATGAACAGACAAATCCGTCAGTTAAAATATTTTCAAGTCATAGACCAACATTTGATTGAAATAAAATAGAAGAAACCAAATGCATCTGAGTCCGGTTGGTCCGGGGTGATTTGTACTTTTTAACCTTGCTGACAAAACCAAATGCATCTGGGTCCGGTTAGTCCGGGGTGATTTGTACTTTTTAACCTTGATGACAAAACCAAATGCATCTGGGTCCGGTTAATCCGGGGTGATTTGTACTTTTTAACCTTGCTGACAAAACCAAATGTATCTGGGCCCGGTTAGTCCGGGGTGATTTGTACTTTTTAACCTTGCTGACAAAACCAAATGTATCTGGGCCCGGTTAGTCCGGGGTGATTTGTACTTTTTAACCTTGCTGACAAAACCAAATGTATCTGAGTCCGGTTAGTCCGGGGTGATTTGTACTTTTTAACCTTGCTGACAAAACCAAATGCATCTGAGTCCGGTTAGTCCGGGGTGATTTGTACTTTTTAACCTTGCTGACAATGTATTTTAAAGTAAAATAATAATTACCTAACCAGGCTTCAGGCTTCTCTCCTGAAAATAAATTTAAATTAAATCTTTTTTATTTTTTCATGAAAATATTTTCATATCCAATGTTTTACAAAATAGGGTTTAAAATAATACTGATCATTTTCTGCTTGATCCATAGCTTAGTGTTTAAACTTTTTGTCTCTGGATTAAATATTTAAAAAAATTTTCCTTTTACTTTGTGTCAGATTGAAAATTGTTTAACATTTAATTTTGTATTTCTTCTCATTGAGAATTTGTAAAAAAAATTTAAATATATGTATATGCAGGATGAGTAAAAAACAAGAATTATTGAGGTTTTGGACAAAATTTAGAAAATTTTTGTTTTGTTAGAAATTAGGCGTAAAAAATAAAATGGGATATACAAAAATTCACCAAATTTAAGGTGGAAATCTGCTGTAAGTGTTATCAAATTATAACCTTAAAACTAATAATTGGCCAACATTTTTTGTTATATCTCATTCAATTTTTTTTAACATGTTCGCTGCAAGCTCTGTTGTCGCTAATCCTCTGTGGAAGAATAGAATTCTAGGGGGGGGGTATTTAACCCCAGGATTCTAGGGGGGGATATTTACCCCCAGGATTCTAGGGGGGGGTATTTACCCCCAGGATTCTAGGGGGGGGTAAATAACCCCAATAACCCCCCTTATTTACGCCACTGTATTAGAAGTAATAAAGTTCTCATTGAAACATACAAGCGGAGATCCTGCCTTGAGTATTGGTATTGGTATTGACCTATTGATTGCTAGTGTCTGTATTGACATCAATAGAAAACAAGATCGCACCCTGTTATAGTGGCGTTGATTAGTCACAGGATGGTAGCCGTATGGATGGTGTCCTGGTTGATACATTGATTAATTGATTGCTAGTTTCTGTATTGACACCGATAGATAATGAGATCACACCCTGTGTAGAGACGTTGATTAGACATGGTATTGTAGCCATGTGGATCATGTCCTGTTTGGTATTGATAGTAGACGGATTGAACTTGGATAGATGCGTCTTGAGAAATTGTAATGGAGTCGGTGTTTACTACAAAAACTGATGACAATGGCGTGAATCAAGGAACCTAGATGAAAGTAAATGCCTAGACCTCCAAGGAAGACAAATTAAGTTAATTACCAGGTTTAACAGGGTACTGAGAGAAACAAGACGAGAAGATATCTTTGAAGACAAGACATCAATAGGAACACTAGAAACTGTGGAAACATTATGCCCTTGGCTACCACCTAGTGAGGAAGGTTCAGAAATAGAAATAAACATGGCAGAAGTGCAGCAGGAGGGGGAAACCCCCTAATACCAGAGTTACAATTACAGTTAGTAATACAAAGAGTGGAGCAAATGGAGCTGGATAAACGAGCTCTGGAGGCGAAATTCGGAGCAAACTATAGAATGCTAGATAGGTCAGTGCATTGGATAAATAATCCCCTCCTAAGGGACTGTAAAGGAAAAATGAAAGGGGGTATAGGCTGAAAGCTAATCACTTTAGCTCTTGATCGCAACCCATGAAAGTTATATCTGATGTTCCTATCTCGAGAAACTGATTTACAACTTTGTCAAATTTATACGAAAATTAATATATATACAATTTTGTATAAAAGTAGTAGGTTTAAAAAGATCAAATTCAGCAAATAAGCAACTAATCTGAAAACGATGATATCCCAGAGAAAGCTAATTGTAAATTAGGTTTACTTTTATATTTGTTATTTCTATTTTTAATAGATTTCATTCATAATATTATTTATATGTCCGTATTACTTGATCAGAAATTCCACCAATGGCAGTGCAGTAAAGTGGTCATGTGATACAGGCGGAGACACGTGATCAGTTTACTGCTCTGCCATTGGTGATAGTTCTGGTCACGTGATTTAAGTTTAAGATTTTCTAAATTTTACATATATGAACTTTCGTATAATTTTTACACAGTTTTATATCAATTTCTCAAGACAGGAACATCAGATATAACTTTCATGGGTCGAGATCAAGAGCTAAAGTGATTAGCTGTCAGCCTATACCCCCTTTCATTTTTCCTTTACAGTCCCTTAAGGTCTAGTAAGGTTAATAAGTCAATAATGCTAATAAGCAATACCTACAGCCTGTCTTCTGTACTGGTCACTATTCTTGTATCTAGGAGAAATTTGGTAGGACATAAAGGATTGGGACAGTTCAAGCTCATCCGTTCTAAGTATAAACAACTATAGTTCATCCGGTCTAAGTATAAACAATTATAGTTCATCCGGTCTAAATATAAACAATTATAGTTCATCCGGTCTAAATATAAACAATTATAGTTCATCCGGTCTAAGTATAAACAATTATAGTTCATCCGGTCTAAATATAAACAATTATAGTTCATCCGGTCTAAGTATAAACAATTATAGTTCATCAGGTCTAAATATAAACAATTATAGCTCATCAGGTCTAAATATAAACAATTATTGTTCATCAGGTCTAAATATAAACAATTATAGTTCATCAGGTCTAAATATAAACAATTATTGTTTATCAGGTCTAAATGTGGCTTCTTTTAGGAATTATGCATCAAAGACCAAAAAGGACATCAGACATTAACGCTTCTTTAGAATAAAAAAACGGCGAAATCTCCCTCTGTTTTGCTTGAAGTTAACATGTTTAAACCTTATTATTTTAATTTAATTTAATTGAGTTTTTTACTTTATCACATAAAATCACGCTGTGCCTGTACCCCTTATATAGATAAAAACATACATTAAAGAAATCAATTATTAATCTCTTAAGTTTCTGTAGAGGTTAAAATAAGATTTGTATACGTAATCTGTTAAAAAAATTGAAAATTTATATTTTCAAAAATAATCCTTAAAATGATCAAAGAAGCACAACCAAGTTAAATAATAAACATATTGGACCAAAGAAATAAAGAAAATGAAAGAAAGCATTTATTGCTATTTAATTAACTGGACTTTTAGGACGCTTCGCGCCCATCTTCTATTTCAAATTCCGTGAGCATCTTCTCATTGTAACAATATAAAACAATAATAAAAGAAGTTTGCGAATAAATGCTATTTGTTCGTGGATTTTCTAAATTTTCAACAAAAAAAATTGAAGACAAACTTGTGTATCCATAAACCTTCCCTAGGGTCACGTGAGGTCCCACAAAAAATTAGACACGAATGGTTCGGCCGTTTTGACAGACAGATAAGCAAAGTATATACGTAAATAGATAACTGTTAAAAGTTGATTGCTTTTGAAAAAAAATTAATAATTGAAACTTTAAAATTCTGGAAACCCTGTCCACTATCAGGAACAAAACTAATGACACTTGTTTTTTGTTTACCTTTGTGATCTGTTGGTCAAATCTCCGTTGTAATACCTAAATCAAATATGGTAATTATTTTTAAATATTTTTTTAATGCTCTTTTAATATAAAAATCGTTTGATGAATTTTTTGAGTTTTTTTACTTTTAGTAATTTATTTGTTCTAACATTGGAATTTACTTCAAATCATTTTAATATCGAATTTCTTAAGTTGTCCCTTAAAACGCTAGAATTTTAAAATAAAAAGTTAGGATTATCACAATTATTATTTAATTTCATAAACAGACACTTTTCCATTAGATTTCTTAAATTGGCCATTGAGGATTCAGATTTCTTTTAAATTTACTATTCAAATTCTAGAACTGTCACGTCAATGTAATATTTTGTAGACTGTTCCTTTAATATCCTGTTTCCTAAACTGTTCCCTTAATACCCTGTTTCCTAGACTGTGCCTTTAATATCCTGTTCCCTAAACTGTTCCTTTAATATCCTGTTTCCTAGACTGTTCCTTTAATATCCTGTTCCCTAAACTGTTCCATATCCTGTTTCCTAGACTGTTCCCTTAATATCCTGTTTCCTAGACTGTTCCTTTAATATCCTGTTCCCTAAACTGTTCCTTTAATATCCTGTTTCCTAGACTGTTCCTTTAATATCCTGTTCCCTAAACTGTTCCCTTAATATCCTGTTCCCTAAACTGTTCCCTTAATATCCTGTTTCCTAAACTGTTCCTTTAATATCCTGTTTCCTAGACTGTTCCTTTAATATCCTGTTTCCTAGACTGTTCCCTTAATATCCTGTTTCCTAGACTGTTCCCTTAATATCCTGTTTCCCAGACTGTTCCTTTAATATCCTATTTCCTAGACTGTTCCTTTAATATCCTGTTTCCTAGACTGTTCCTTTAATATCCTGTTTCCTAGACTGTTCCCTTAATATCCTGTTTCCTAGACTTTTTCTTTAATATCCCGTTTCCTAGACTGTTCCCTTAATATCCTGTTTCCTAGACTGTTCCTTTAATATCCTGTTTCCTAGACCGTTCCTTTAATATCCTGTTTCCTAGACTGTTCCCTTAATATCCTGTTTCCTAGACTGTTCCTTTAATATCCTGTTTCCTAGACTGTTCCCTTAATATCCTAATTCCCAGACTGTTCCTTTAATATCCTGTTTCCTAGACTGTTCCTTTAGTATCCTGTTTCCTAGACTGTTCCTTTAATATTTTGTTTGCTAGACTGTTCCCTAAATATCCTGTTTCCTAGACTGTTCCTTTAATATTTTGTTTCCTAGACTGTTCCTTTAATATCCTGTTTCCTAGACTATTCCTTTAATATCTGAATTCCGATAAGTTTTATTAAACTCATCTCAAGATTAAAATATACAAGAGAAACAAAGGTTGAGTAGAACTTGTTTTAACTTTCAAATTTTGAAATTCATCCGTTTTCATTCGTTTTCATTCATGTATTTACATACTTTTCATCTCTCTCATCAATAGAGGTAATAATATTCACCATGTTTTAAAAACCCGGTTTTTTCAATTAAATTTTTTATTTTTGATCTGGCGGCGGCAGCAAGGATCATCTATTGGCGGCAATTAGAGTTTTCTCTCTAACCCTCAGCAAATCATCGTATAAAGATAACATTTTTTCAGACTTGAAAAGGGTTTAATTCTAACAATTTATTCACTACTTTTGATGCAAAAAATTGCATACCTCAGTTTTAAAAGAGAAACCACAAATGAAAATAATCAGGTTTTAAAAATAAAAACATGAATATTAAATTCATTCTTGACCCGATAAAGCTTTTAATGATACCATTGTGAAAAGTGAATTTTCCTCTAAAAATGGGGAGTCAGTTGAAATCACTTTTACACCAGCACTTCTAGCCTATAGGATTGTAAAACTAATTTCAAAAGATCAATAAATTCCTCATATTGTCTCCCTTGCTATCATGCAAAACACCTCCGGCCTATTGAATTGAATGGAATATAGATACCACCTTGTTTTTCCAAAAGTTAAATAAAATCTTTACATTGAAAACCTTTAAACTGATATAATCAGCACTCAGCAGTAATGTGATTGATATATAACCAGCATAGACTAGATTAAAGTTTATTGTACTTCTCAAATCAAAACGATGTTAGGTACTTTCACAAAGGGGTTTTCCCAAGCGACAACTTTCCAAGGGTATTTTCCCAAATGGCAACTTCCCAAGTCTGACCTAGCTGCAGTGCTTGGCCCATCCTAGCCGTAGCGCTTTGCCCCAAATTGCAGCATACGGTGCCGGCCTTAGGAGGCATTACATAACCTTTGGGAAGTTGCCATTTGGAAATTGCACAAGCAGCACAATTGGAAAATTGCCACTTGGGAAATTGTCACTTGAGAAGTTGCCCTGGGGAGAAAATGCCTTTGAGAAATTACCTAACACCGTATTTACTCACCTTATAGAATGTCTTGAATCAATGGAATCTCCATGATCTAATTCCTAAAAATAATATTATTGAATTCCTAAAAGTATAATTGTCTAGTTTCTAAAAAAATAAATGTCTAGTTCCTAAAAATAGAATTGTCTAGTTTCTAAAAGTATAATTGTCTAGGTCCTAAAAGTATAATTGTCTAGTTTCTAAAAGTATAATTGTCTAGTTCCTAAAAATATAATTGTCTAGTTTCTAAAAGTATAATTGTCTAGGTCCTAAAAGTATAATTGTCTAGCTTCTAAAAGTATAATTGTCTAGTTTCTAAAAGTATAATTGTCTTGTTTCTAAAAGTATAGTTGTCTAGTTTCTAAAAGTATAATTGTCTAGTTTCTAAAAGTATAGCTGTTAGTTCCTAAAAGTATAATTGTCTAGTTCCTAAAAGTATAATTGTCTAGTTTCTAAAAGTATAGCTGTTAGTTCCTAAAAGTATATTTGTCTAGTTCCTAGAGGTATAGTTATCTAGTTTCTAAAAGTATAATTGTCTAGTTCCTAAAAGTATAGTTGTCTAGTTCCAAAAAGTATAATTGTCTGGTTCCTAGAAGTATAGCTGTCTAGTTCCTAAAAGTATAGCTGTCTAGTTCCTAAAAGTATTATTGTCTAGTTCCTAAAAGTATAAATGTCTAGTTCCTAAAAGTATTATTGTCTAGTTCCTAAAAGTGTAATTGTCTAGGTCCTAAAAGTGTAATTGTCTAGGTCCTAAAAGTATAATTGTCTAGTTCCTAAAAGTATAATTGTCTAGTTCCTAAAAGTATAATTGTCTAGGTCCTAAAAGTGTAATTGTCTAGTTCCTAAAAATATAATTGTCTAGTTTCTAAAAGTATAATTGTCTAGGTCCTAAAAGTATAGTTGTCTATGTCTAATTACTAAATGTAAAATTTTCTAATTCCGAAAAGTATAATTTTCTGATTTCTAAAAGAAAAGTTTTTTTTGGTAAAAGTATAGTTGCCTAATTTCTAGAAGTAAAGTTGTCCAGTGCTTATAAGTATAGTTGTCTAATTCATATATTTTTTCAACCTGAAAGTTTTAGACCTTTTATATTTCAAAATTTGATAATGTTTGATTTATAGTTGAATTAATCGCTTAAGATACCAAAAGTCTACAACGTCACGTTTCAAAACATTAAAATATTAGAGTTAGTGGCTTAAGTGCCCATATTCTTTGTATTTTTGATTTTGTTAGAAATTAAAAAAAAGGTCAGCTGTCTTTAATAGTGTGTGTTGTTTCAGAAATTGAAATCAATTCAATATGTATCATAAGATTTACAGGATTACCCATATTCCATTGATTTCAGGTTATCACTGTAAGTATTCAATCGGAATTAATCTAGCCTTAAAGGGAAAGTAGGCTTAATTTCAATAAAAGTTACAAGACGGATGTATTGTAAACCTTGTAAATTCTTTTCTGATCAAGGATGACCGGAAACTAACAACGTATTTATCCACAGACACGCTTGTAATTGTTTAGTCATACCACTCTATAAATAATAGATGTTTAGACATACCACTCTATAAACAATAGATGTTTAGACATACCACTCTATAAATAATAGATGTTTAGACATACCACTCTATAAATAATAGATGTTTAGACATACCACTCTATAAATGATAGATCAATTGAAATTTTATCTAAGACAGATTCTTAAACCAAAATATTTATCTTTTTCATAATAATTATGATAGCGTCTGATTGAATCAGGGTTCAGTCACGTGGTTGTTGATTTATCTATCTTCTCATCCAACTTTATGAATCCTGGAATCAGTGCTAAAAGAAATGTGTACTTCTACCGAAACAAGGGTGAGGAGACATATCCTTTAAACTAAAATAAATATTTTTTAAAAAATTTCTATCCATTTTTTCTTTACAAAACTTTAGGCCAACCGTATTTTTGTTTTAACCCTGGAATCTTTATTAGACAGGATGATATTTGCTCAACTATATTTGTTTATTTACTCAATCTTTCTTTAGAATCAAGAAGAAAATTGCGGATTTTCCATCTTTGCAGATTGTTCAGCTGCAGTTATTATAAATGATCAAACTTGGGACATAAAAAAAGAAAATGAAGGGAGACCGCCAACAAAGATTTAAATAATAGATTTATGTAGATCAGAAACATTGTGAAATATTATTAAAAATCAAATCTTAATAGTTAGAAAAATCTTAGAGATCGTGTATTTTTCAAGAGCTTTTATTATAATCCTCTTTTAATATTTGAGAATTTAACAAGTACGTTATTACGGCCCTATCTAGATTCTTTTTTTCAAGGAACTATACACAAAGTTTCAAGGGGATGTCCAATTCACAACGGTGACTCTTTGAACCTCTGTCTGATCAAGGGTGACCAAGATATCTTTACTTGTCATAGTTAAGTTAGAGACAAATGGAAAATAGCAGAATTCTAAACTTTTTTAGATAGAAAAACAAAGATATCTCCTCATTGTTATTCAGTTTTAGGTAAAAGAGCACAGTTGTGTATTAGACATTCCGCTAGTTTCAAAATTGTAAAATCTATCAGTTCGCCTGTAAAGTATTTCCGCTGCATAAATTGAGTGTTTCTGATCTTGAAAAGTGTGATGTTCAGCCTCGTTGTGTTCAAGAAATAAACATATACTGAGTTTATATTGCTGATCCCAGGCAGTAACGTACAGTTTACAGTTTGTGTTCATTTGAGCTGGTCGTTCCCAGTGTATTTCCTTGCTATCGGGTAGTTCAATAAAAATATAAAATATGAAATATGAATTATCGAATCCTGATTCTTTTGAGAATATTTTTAACAAGCTTGGAAACTTTGAAAGATCTCTTAACTATCAACTTGACATTCTCAAAATGTGCTCATTACAGTATTTACCATCAAGCTCTCTTCTTAAGATGTGGAATAACCTGCCTCTTGACTTAAAAAGAAGCAACTCTCTAAGTATATTTAAAAATAGACTACTACATTCTCTTTTTGAAAATTACATTACAATGTGTTATAAACCGAATTGCTATTCATGTAAAACTAATTAGATATGTTTTAAAATGCTTTGATATTTGTTGTGTACATGTCAGAATATTACTTTAAGCTCTAGTTATTCTAATTAGGGTATAATTTTTTTTGTATAAGATAAAATCGCACCCTAATCTCTAATAGTTCTCCTTAAATCTATTTACTTGAAATGTTTTGTTATCATTGTTGAAATTAGGTGGAAAAAATAATAAAAACAGCCAAAAGCTATTTTCCACCTAATTGCTTTATACTTGTACTGGTAAACTCGTTCTGTAAACAGATACATGTATTTTAGCAATAAACTTATCTTATCTAATCTAATGATCTAATGACCCTTCAATACCTGTGAACATGAGCTTTCCTATATATAAAGTGCACTTCTAGAGAAGTTCTGTTATGGCTGCAGTAAATACAATGCTTATTACATTGGGTAACACAAAATATATTTACCAAAACAAGTTATTAAAACATAAACGCAAAAAAGATAAATTCTACCATTTTAAATAGTTATAACACTCTTCTTTTTTGGATAGAAATTTTCTCTTTATCGAGAATGTTCAAGCCATTATTTTTAAACCAGAAAATTATTTTATGTTAAGCCTTACTTAAAGCTATATATTGTAATAGTTTGGGAACCCAGCGTTGACCATGTTACTCATTGTTACTCCTACCGTTTACCCGCATTTGGTCGATTAAACAAACTAAATTTCTGCTATTTAAGCCGATCAACTCAACTCAGACTCTCAAATCTCAACTAAGTTCTCTAATCAAAACTTGAGTCAAATCGGTCAAGAGGTTCATGAGTTATGATCGGAAATACAGTCAGACAGACAGACAAACAGAGAACACAACCTATAGATAAAGACAATTGTCATGTCTAAAATAATGAATTGTTTCATGATTAAAAGAAATTGGTTTTACGAAATCAAATCCTTGTCAAATAATTTTAGGAAATTTGGAAAATTAAGCAACTGTAAAAACGACAAGAAAAATCTCCGCTGATTAAATTATCTATTAGTAAATATTTGGTCAATAATAAATGACTCGAAAATGTTAGCAGTTGAAGGGTAAACACAATCTTATATTAGAAAGAGAGAAAGTGATTGCTTTTCAAATAAAAGAAATTCTTTTTCCAATTACTTTTTTCAAAGTAATTGTTAACCTATTGGAAAATACAAATTTATTCACCAATTGTTATAATTAGAAACTCAGGTAAAACCTTTATCAAAATTAAAGATGTGTTTGGAGCCGGATTAATTAAGATTTACTGTTAAGATTATCATAACGGTTTAGTCAGGTAGAACCTGCAGTTTATTGTAAAGGAATTGAGTCTTTTTAACTTTGCAACCCAATGTCGATTTTTCAAACTATCAGTTTTATTAAATCAACTACTTACTCAGATTTATTCATTCATATTTTCATTAACTGTTCGATAACTGATAATGTATTCCTCTCTTCTCCTGAACAAATTCCTGTAAAGGTCCCTAAACTGATAAGATAACAAAAGGTTTTAACTCTTAAGTTTCAGGCGAAACTCTTTGGTTTCAATGGGGTTCATGAGCAAATGCATTGACATTAATTTTTGCTATTGGGTGGAAAGATACACTTGATTTCATACAATCGTAGTAGTATATATCAATACAATGAAGACGACTTTTAATTACAATTATTGATTTATACCAAGCTGTTAAACAGCATGGATACAAATAGAAATGGAAACATAAGCTTCAATTAAATAAAAGATCATTTTTGTTTACTTGTAGAATTAAATAGCTGACCTGACGCATAGCTTGGTATCCCCGCATCTCAGCTGTGTTAGGGGTTAAAGCTCGAACATCTGATGAACACCATTTTTTTGTCGATTTGGGGTTAAAAGGACTATAGATGTAATATGAAGGGACCTGCCTTGTATAGAGTTACATGCCCTGGGCACTTTAAATATTTATCTCATCAAAATATGGAAGGAGGTTAGTTTTTAGTTTGAAAATTTCGGCCACTTTTCTGATGGAAAACTCAGAAAGCCACTTGATAAAGAAATCACAAAAAATATTTTTTTAATTTTTATAAATGTTGTTTAGGACATCGTTGTGAATCGTCACTAATAACTGGATTGGCATGCACTTGAAATGAAACCTATTACAGTCCCTTAATTAGCTAAATATAAATTTGGCTTGTCTGTCTGTCTGTTTGTTTGTCTGTCTGTCTGTTTGTATCCAATAAACGTCAAAACGGTTGAACCGATCGGGCCCAAATTTTTTGTGGGACATCTATGGACCCCAGGGAAGGTTTATGAAAAATCAAAATTTCAAATATTTGTCTCTATCAAAATTCGATCGTCATTAAATTTTTAAAAATTTTGGAAATCCGCGAAATTTTTTGTGAAAATCCGCGAATTATTTTTGTTTTGTTTTACGATGTACACAAAGAGAACATGTTCACAACTAATTTAGAAGAAGGGCGCGAAGCGCCTTGAATTTCTAGTTAGCTAAATTGCGCTACTTTTACAAGTTAAAAAGGTATCTTGATAAAAACTTTAAAAATTGTTAGTTAAACTTAAATTTAAATAAAACCCTCTTTGAAAACAAACTTTTGCATTTTTTATTGAAGTTCCATGTTTTTGCATTTTGGTAAATATAGCATTTGAATTGTGCAGTTTGTAATTTGTCATAATTATAATTTAAGAGTCATTTTATTTTAGGCTTAAAGTAACAATAAATACAAACTCATTTAGTACTTTCAGATTAGATTTATAAGAAAGTGCAAAACTAAAACGTAGAATGCAACATCACAAGTTCAACCGAAACATGGTTATTATTAAACACTGGAATAAGTAAAGGTAAATATTCTCTATGATTAACTACAGTATGTACACTGTACACTGTACAGGGCTATTCATTAATCACGACTTGAAAATCTTTGATTACACCGGCTTGAAGAATAATAGAAACTTTAATAGAAGAATCTACTCAATATCAAATAAATTCCGTGGACTCGGGGTAACCCTGATTTTATATTTAAGTTTCAAGCGAAACTATATTTACCCACTGTACAATTTGAATTGAATTTTGGATTCAAACTTCTGAACAGTGAGCATCACTGATATCGGAGTTTGACCCCTTATAAACATTTATTTTGTTTTCAATCCCAAATGCAGCCTTAAGGGCCGTAATTAAACCACTGTGCAACTAAAAATTTCGTTTTAAAATCACTGTTTAGCTGATTGTGGCTATATTTAGCCCAATTTTTAAGCGATAGTTGTGCATTAAAACCGCAATGGAATCGATAGAAGCAAATTATTACCACTGTGAAATATTAATTAATAGCCTTGAAATCCTATGCAGTCTGCAATAATTGATAGCGTATTTCTCCCACTGTACAACCTTAAGTGTTGTGTTTTAACCGCTGTTATAACCGCCAGTACTGCATTTAAACCACTGTGCAACCCTTAATGCCAAATTTAAACCACTGTGCAACCCTTACTGCCGGATTTAAACCACTGTGCAGTGTGCAATCCTTAGTGCCGGATTAAAACCGCTGTGCAATCATATGTCGCTTAATAAAACCATTGTGCAGTCGTTAGTAGGGTATTTATCCCACTGTGCTCCTCTCTTATACATTTATCTATCAGCTCTAACCCTACTGTCCAGTTGGAAAATTGGGGATAAAACTAATCCAGGCCGGGACAACATATGCCTTGATTTATTGCCTGGATAGGAGGGAAGGGGGGGGGGGCAGGGATTGAGGAGGAGGGGATTCTAATCTCACTAATTTCCAAAGAAATCCTAAGATTATCTATAGATTAAGATTGCTATGTTACCATTGGGTAACAATAACAAAAATAATAGATAAAATAATGAAAGTACCCTAACCCAAATAGATTCTAGTGAAATAGATGGCAATTTAGAATTTTTACGCTCTTAGTACAGGTGTATTCTGACGTCACAAGTGTCAACTCAGTTTTTGTGTCCGACAAAATTATCAATAATAGTGATCATTTTAGAATAAAGTGCTTATCTTACAGTAAAATAAGTGAAATTTTATGTGTTCTTAATTTTCTGTTTTTACACTTTTTTATTTAATCTTGGAAAACGTGTCAACTATTATGAGAAAATTTCGTTTTCCTTGTTATATTTGACACTTGTGACGTTGTGTATAATTGGTTCATTTCTCTGTTGCCACCTATAATAATTGTACTTGATAATCTATTTGTCCTAACCAATTATTTAAGAGGATTAGGGTTGCACATAAAGACTATAAAAGCTCGAAATAAGTGTTAACATCTTGACTTTCGAAAATTTGAACTTTAAGAAAGTGCATAATTAGTAGATTTTTGACACTACAATTATTTTTTTTATTCAAAAATGTAGATATATACTTTTGAGAAATAGTCGATGGCTCCTGAAATCACGTTAAAAAAAAATCATATTAGTTGTATCTAAACCGGAAGGTTGATATTAAATCGGGCTTTTTTTGGAATTAAACGAGGTTTTACTCGGGTTTATGATTTTAAAATCTCAACTCCGAAGTCAGATGTCACAATTCATTAAAACATACAGTGCAAGTAGTAATTAAGTGTGGTTCGTGTTTTCGTATTTTACCTATATTTTTTTTTCAAGGTCAAAATATGTAAAGCGAAGAAACGAACCTAAAACAACCCAAGGACGATTCGAAAACGAACGTTTTTCATTTTTTTAGGATAAAATATTGGAAAGTTTACAAAAAGCAAACTTTAATTTAAGACAGTTTTGGAATACTTTTGTTTGTTAAAGGTTTTCAAAAAAGGAACCATCAACTTAACAATCCTGAGCTAAAAAGTGTCTGGTAAGAGGATGACATTGCTGAGCTTTGTGTCTTAACGCGCTCTGAATTAAAAGTTTTGAACTCTGAAAGAAATGGTTTCCTAAAGGGGTTCGGTCGGACTGGATTCCCTGAAACCTTCCTGTGTTGTTCGCATTGTCGGAGATCTAAACAGAAAATAGAAAACAAAATTTAAATACATTTTACGATCTTACAGAGGTGCCCATCAAATATGGGACACTGATTTAAAATTTTCTTTCTTGTTTCAACAAACTGTAATTTTCGATCACATTTTGACAAATTAAAATCTAGTTTAGCTTGGTTTTTTTTTACTTTTTTGTCTGCGAATACGTTATACATGAAAAATAATCATAACACCATAAGTTTAAAGATCGTTAAATTATATTTAGACCAAAAATCGATTGAATTCAAATTGAAGAAACTGAACGTATCTCTTGCCCTGGTTGGTCCTTATTTGAATAGCTTTTCATATCGACTTTTATCTTTTTTTTTTTTTTAACAGGGTAACAAAGATAAATTGACATTTCGAATTGGTTAAATTAAGGCTTCAGCCTTGAATATAGTCTTGTAAAGGCTATTTTAATGATTTGGGAGAGAAAAAAAACAAGTTTACAGTTTCCGGAAATCGTACATTTAAGAAAACACTCGTCTCTGAAGTCTCGTCCTTTGTGGGTAAGACCCTATAAATAACTATTCAACTAACAACAAATTACATTACTTAATGAATTGTTCACCTTGGACTTTAATCCATCATTTTGTCTTGACAGTTTCCTTTCATTACCCTCATCCAGTTCATCATCACTAAATACCCAGGTATAAATTGTCTTAGTTGTCTGTTGCCCGTTTGTCTGTTGTCTGTTGTATGTTGTCTGTTGTCTGTTGTCTGTTGTCTGTTGTCTGTTGTCTTATGTCTGTTGTCTGTTGTCTGTTGTCTGTTGTCTGTTGTCTGTTGTCTGTTTTCTGTTGTCTGTTGTCTGTTGTCTGTTGTCTGTTGTCTGTTGTCTGTTGTCTGTTGTCTGTTGTCTGTTGTCTGTTGTCTGTTGTCTGTTGTCTGTTGTTTTTGTCTGCTGTCTGTTGTCTGTTGTTTGTTGTCTGTTGTTTGTTGTCTGTTGTCGGTTTTCGGTTGTCTGTTGTCGGTTTTCGGTTGTCTGTTGTCTGTTGTGTGTTACTGTTATATATGTCTGTTATCTTTTATCTATTATCTGTTATATGTTATCTGTGATCTGACATCTGTTAACAGTTATCTGATATCTGTTAACTGTTATCTTTTGTCTGTTATCTGTTATCTGTTATCTATAATCTGTTATCTATTGTCCTACCTGCCCTGGTGGTTTATCTGTCTATCCTTGAAGTTTAGTGTATCACCATGTTTTCTCTTATTCCTTCCTTCGTCTAGAAACATTATTATGATTGACAAGCTCTCTTAAAGAGACTGTACTATACTTACTGTACTTTACTGTACTGTACTGTACTTTATTGTACTGTACTGTACTGTACTTTACTGTACTGTACTTTACTGTACTGTACTTTACTGTACTGTACTTTACTGTACTGTACTGTACTGTACTGTACTGTACTGTACTTTACTGTACTGTACTTTACTGTACTGTACTTTACTGTACTGTACTGTACTGTACTGTACTGTACTGTACTTTAATTTCTAACAACAGCTGAGATTTGTAGAGTATCATCTTTGATTCATGAAGGTACACCTATCAACCTTTGTCTGACCAAAGATGAATAAGAATTTGTTGTCCAGGTAAAAAATGTTCGATTTTCATTGTAGTCTCCGGAAGCTAGGAATTTCCAAAGGGGGGTGCATAAAAAAATGTTTATTGAAACACTCTTTTAATATATACATCTGTATAGTTTATTGTAACACCCTGGTAAATATATATCTGTATAGTTTATTGTAACACCCTGTAAATATATATCTGAATCTGCATAGTTTATTAAAACACCCTGTAAATATATTTATCTGAATCTGTATAGTTTATTAAAACACCCTGTAAATATATATGTCTGAATCTGTTAGTTTATTAAAACACCCTGTAAATATATATTTGTATCTGTATAGTTTGTTGTAACACCCTGTAAATATATATATCTGAATCTGTATAGTTTATTGTAACACCCTGTAAATATATATCTGACTCTGTATAGTTTATTAAAACACCCTGTAAATATATATCTGAATCTGTTAGTTTATTAAAACACCCTGTAAATCTGTTATCGACATTCTGTAGATTCCATTAAAAACACGACTGAGGTTATTCCACAAGTACTTGCAATAATAGTGTGTAATTCTTTCACAGTAATATAAATAATATCGTAAAAGTCACATTTAACAGAATTTATGTTATCCTTTCTCAGATATTTAAAGTAAAACTTCATTTAAAATAAATTGTAAAAACTGTAAAAATTGTGTAAATTTTCCCCCCGACCAGACACTTGTAAGCTATGAAACTGCTGTGGTATCTGGGAACCACAAATACGTGCATT